GTACAAAATATGAAGAGGATAAATTCTACCATGAACCATATCTGAAAGAGGTTATTCATGAAAGAAAATAGAGAGGAGAATGGGCAAAGTAGTAATCATATAGTTGAAATCTGTGGATGCAGATGTCCTCAAAGTATTTTTATGAAGATGGTTAGACCTTAAACATAAAATTTAAATTAGTTCATCTGCAGATGTATTACTTTAAATGTCTATTGTAAAAATAAATAAAAATTTAAAAAATTAAAAAAAAAAAAAAGAAACGCATATCCTGTACCTATCCACCCCCTACCATCCTGTCAGCCCTCACCTGTCTTAAGCAACCACTAAGGTATGTTTCCCCCCTGTATACTTCCCTATTCTGGACTTTCGCATAAACAGAATCATATATGGTCTTTTGTGATCACATAATATTTTCAAGATTCATCTATGATGCAGCAGGTATCAGCACTTCATTTCCTTTATGGCTACATAACATTCCATTATCTAAGTATAACACATTTTGTTTATCCATTCATCTGTTGATGGGCATGTAGGTTGTTTCTACCTTTTGACTATTATAAATAATACTGCTATGAACATCTTCATACGAGTTTTTGCGTAACATGTTTTCAATTCTCTTGGGTATATACCAAGAGGCGGATTGTTGGGTTACATAGTAACTTATGTTTAATCATGAATAACTGTCAGACTATTTTCCAAAACAGCTACACCATTTTATATTCCCCCCAGCAGTGTTAGAGTGTTCTGATTTCTTTACACCCTCATCAATACTTGCTATTATCTGACTTTTTGATTTTAGCCTTCTTAGTTGGTATGTGGTTTTCATTGTGGTTTTGATTCACATTTCTATGATGACAAATGATGTCAAGCTTCTTTTCATGTGTTTACTGGCCATTTGTATATCCTATTTGGAGAAATGTCTATTCAGATCCTTTGCCCATTTTTAAATTGGGCTATCTTTTTTTTTGAGACAAAGTCTCACTTTGTTGCCCAGGCTAGAGTGAGTGCCATGGTGGCCTACCTCACAGCAACCTCAGTCTCCTGGGCTCAAGCGAGCCTACTGCCTCAGCCTCCCGAGTAGCTTGGACTACAGGCATGTGCCACCATGCCTGGCTAATTTTTTATATATATATTTTTAGTTGGCCAATTAATTTCTATTTTTAGTAGAGACAGGGTCTCACTCTTGCTCAGGCTGGTTTAGAACTCCTGACCTCCAGCAATCCACCCATCTCGGCCTCCCAGAGTGCTAGGATTACAGGCCTGAGCCACTGCGCTCAGTCTGGGATATCTTATTATTGGGTTCTAACAGTTCTTCATATATTGTAGATACAAGTCTTTTATTAGATATATAATTTGCAAATACTATTATTCTGTGGGGCAGTCTTAACTTACTTTATGGTGTCCTTTAAATGGCAAGTTTTTAAGTTTGATGAAGTCCAATTCATCTATGTTCTCTTTTGTTGCTCATGCTTTTTGTGTCATATTTGAGAAACTATTGCTAAATTCAAGGTCAAAGATTTACTCCTAAATATGTGAGGTGATGGATACCTCAATTATTCTGACTTGATCATTACACATTGTATACATGTATGAAAATATCACATGTACCCCCAAAATATGTAAAACTATATCAATAAAAATTATAAAGAAAGATTCACTCCCAAATTTTCTTCTAAGGGTTTATAGTTTTAGCTCTTAAGTTTAGGACTTTGATCTATTTTGAGGTAATTTGTATATATAGTGTGAAGCAAGGGTCCAACTTCATTCTTTTACATGCAGTTCCCAGTTCTATCCCAGTTCTCCTAGCACCATTTATTGAAAAAGCTATTCTTTCCCTCACTGAATGGTCTTGGCACCCTTGTCAAAAACCAACCAACTACAGATGTATGGATTTATTTTTGGACCCTCTATTCTGTTTCATTGATCTGTGTCTGTCCTGTTGCCAGTAGCACATCATCTTGATTATTGTTGCTTTGCAGTAAGTCTAAAAATTGGGCAGTGTGAGTCCTCCTATACTTAGTCTTTCAATATTATTTTGGCTATACAAGGTCCCTTGCAATTCCATATGAATTTTAGAATCAGCTTGTCAATTTCTACAACTAGGTCAGCTGGAATTCTTAAGGGGATTGCACTGAATCTGTAGATCAGTTTGGGGGGTTCTACCATCCTAACAACTTTAAGTCTTCAAATTAACGAATATGGGATGGTTTTCGTTTACTTAAAAGCATAAGTATACACTGTCTATATAATTTAAGGCCGTTAGCATCCGTATCAATAAAGTGGGTACATAAATAATATCTATTTGTTAATTAATCAAATATTTCCCATTTCCTAATTTAAAATTTAGAAGATAGAGTTTTACATGACAGGCTATTTACTAATGACTAGGCTCTTAAATCAAGAGTTTACTACAGCAAACTTAGAAATTTCTACCTGAAGCCTTTGCCATTCACTGAAAGGCATTCTCACTATATTTAGTTGTTTTTTAAAAAAAATAGTAGGTATTTAAATCCCTCCCCCAATTTTGAGAGGAAAGGGGAGCAGGAGTAAGAAAATGACCATTACTACCAGTATATATCAATCTGAAGTCCACAGATTTAAATTACTCTCTTTAATCACAGATAATCCCTAACATATTGCCTGGGCAATCATCTTAGTTCCATGTTAATTAAGATGACTAGCTACAATCACTAGTGACCCCAATCCTAATGAAAAATAAGTATGTGTTTCATTCAATATACAAAATCAAAAAATTTTTTTTTTGAGACAGGGTCTTGCTCTGTCACCCAGACTAGAGTGCAGTGTTATCATCATAGCTCACTGCAACCTCAAACTCCAGTGATCCTGCAACCTCAACCTCCTGTCTCAGGTTCCTAAGTACCTGGGACGACAGGCACACACCAGCAGATGCAGCTAATTTTTCTATTTTTGCAGAGATGGGGTCTTGCTCTGGCTGGTCTCAAACTCCTGACCTCAAGCAATGCTGCCTCGGCCTCCCAAAGTGCTAAGATTATAGGTGTGAGCCACCACTCAGCCTCCAAAATCAATTTTAAATCTCCTTCTAGAATCATACTAGACTGATTGAGAAATTAAATTTAAAAAAGGCAAACCTTTTCTTTTAGAAATTAACATTTCTCTAGCCTATTTTTTTCCTTTAGTAAGACAGTTTAGCTGGCAAGCCAATGCCCATTTTATATCCATGCAAGTATCTAGAGTTAGTTAATAACTCTAAGATTTTACCCACAGAGCTGAAAAGGCAATTGTTTTTGTTCCCAAAAAGAATCAAATCTAAAACTCTGGCTGTTTCACTGCAATCGTCCCAAGGAGAGGTCAGCTAGTATTTCTAGACTTGACCAAACATCCCATACATCCTCCTGAGCACACCAAGCTTAGGAAACCATTCTAGACCAGTCACTAGCCACCTGTTTCACTACTATAAAACTGAATGCTATATCTCTTCCATACTCCACACTACACTGCCTTTTTAAAAACCTTCTTTACAAATTCTACTCTCCTAGTATCAGCCTATCCACCAAAAATCCTGAGACTTCATACTTCAAACATTAGGTAATAAGAAACTTATTTCCAGTCTCTCACACAGCAACCTCTGGCTTTTCACCACATACCTAATGATATTTTAATGGAATAGTACACGAAACTCTTAAGATTCTTATCAAATAAGAAATGAGTATGAAAACTAACCTCACAAAATATCTCATGCTGGAATGTCTGACAATCTCTCAAGCAGCCCTTACAGGGGAAAAAAGTTATTAACCTTAAAGTTTTCCAGAATCAAAACCCCTAAAAATGTACAGTCTAATGTACAAAGATAACAAATACACATAATGACTTCAAAATACTTCAAGAAATCCTGTTTTTGAAATTATTATATTCTAATATTTTAAAATGTATAAGGTACATACCTAGTACATCCTATGTTATTCAGTTAATCAGAATATTCATTTAAAAAACTATCCAATTCCTTAAACTCTCAGTGAGTTTAAAGCCTTCCAGAGCTTATTCAACTATATATTATAGCAGCTTCTAGGCTATCACCTTGCCCAAACAGACTTTTTAAGTTGCATTTTGGGTGAGTATGTACTAAACCATGTGTACATACTCAGGGAGGAAAAACCCTGAGGAACATCCAATGATGCTTACATCAAATCACATAATTTATGGTAAAGTCTCTGAATGCAGAACAATGGCATGGGAAAGAGAAGTGGTATTAGATTAGTGAATAGCTCAGAGAAAAGTCAACCGCCCCAAACCAAATAGCCAACTAACACCCCCCCCCCCAAAAGACCTGTAAGGAATAAGCTAACCCCTTTCAAACACATTGGATTATTTCACACTGAGTTATGTTTATGCATTTGTAGCTACCAAAAAGAAAAAAACCAAAAAGCTACTAAAATGCAAATATTTTATTACCACATTTTGTTTTGAAATAAAGACTATATTGTATTCTACAATGCAAACTATTAATACTTTGGGAACAAAGAAACAGGCAGTAAGGGCTGAGAGGTATGAAGAAAGTCCTTTATCTCACTTCATTTCATTAAAATTTCTGCAAGCATACTGAACTGTGAAGTATTTGTTTTATTTTGAAGAAAGGGGAGTTTTGAAAAATACATAATGATATACAGAACTGAAAAGTCTTACAATACACATGTATGACTGTCATTCCCAAAGATTCTTACTGCTTTAATAATTACTCAACAAAGACGCTGAGAAATCCACTCAACTGCATCATTACTGCCATCATAAGGAACACACAAAAGGACACACAAAGATGACTCATGCCAATAACTGCCCTGTCATTTAAATGTTTCCTGTAATTGCCACTAATTTAAAATAGAAATACTCTCATTCCATAACCTGAATGCTATAGTGCCTGATCCATACTAATCTACATTACCTAATTCCTCCTAGAAGTTAGCAGAAAGTGCAAAGACAGATATTAATCTCACAGAATTTGCAGCTCAGCAAGACCTACATACCGGCAAGTCCACACTAACATCAGTACCATCCAGAAGGGACACTCGACACGTGATGATGGACTTAGAATCTCCAGCTGCAGGAATATGTGTGGCAGCTCGCTGTGCCTCTCGGAGTCGTTCCTTCTCTGCATGTTTACGCATTGACCGACGTCCCAGTGTTCTACGGAAGAAGCTCAGCATTTTTGTCACTATAAAACCAGAGAGAAAAAGATGGCATCAAGAAAAGACTTCCCAAAACTTGCAATCAGACCAATGGTATTATTTAGTAAAGTCCTGCAGACATTAGTAAGAATGCTACTAAAAAGGATACCTGGTCAAGTAAATTTGAAACAAATAATTAAAACCAGCTTTTTATTCATATTTCAAAACAGCATATTGTACATGATAAGTATACACAATTTTTGTCTATTAAAAATTAATTTTAAAAGCTGGCTACTTTAATTCACAGTTGTTAAAGATTTATATATAGACAGAGCAATGTTTTGCAGCTTTCTAAACTAACTAGACTATTTTATAGGAACAGACCTGGCAGAAGAGGGCAGACATTTATGAAATTCATCAGGTCTTTTGTATCAATAAATTATATGTACAATAGTTGTACATCCCTACAAACATTAGGAGGTGATCTCAGATACTAAGGTATCCTTTGACCACAAAAATCCTGAGAAGTTTTACTTCTTTTGTAAGCAACCCTAATAAATATATTTTAAAAATCACCTATTTCAGCTAAAACACAAATTCAAATATCCTGTTTTATCAAATATTCTACTATTATTTACAGATTTTAAATTACTACTTAACATAAACCTTTATAATGGCAAGTTACTTTAATACTAATTTCTTTATCTCTATTAAGAACATTAAAATTAATCGAAAGTTAAAATAGGTATTAGTAATTTTAAAATATAGCATACTAAAATGGAAACACCATAAAAATAGTTACTTGCTAATCTAACGTATTTAATTTGCACAACTGAGAGTTTAAGAATAAGTACCTATAGGCCGGGTGCGGTGGCTCATGCCTATAATCCTAGCACTCTGAGAGGCCAAGAGGCAGGCAGATTGCTCAAGGTCAGGAGTTCAAAACCAGCCTGAGCAAGACCCTGTCTCCACTAAAAATAGAAAGAAATTAATTGGCCAACTAAAAATATATATAAAAAATTAGCCAGGCATAGTGGTGCATGCCTGTAGTCCCAGCTACTCGGGAGGCTGAGGCAGTAGGATTGCTTGAGCCCAGGAGTTTGAGGTTGCTGTGAGCTAGGCTGACGCCACGGCACTCACTCTAGCCTGGGCAACAAAGCAAGACTCTGTCTCAAAAAGAAAAAAAGAATAAGTATATATAATTAAGCCAACAAATAAAGAAGACAATTTCAGAGAAAACAAGAAGTTATGCAGAAAAGAGAAATTACAATACACTACATGACTATAACTAAGAGGATGTGTAGAAGAGAGGTAGGAAATGGAGATGTATAAAGAGCTAATTTCTCATCTTGCCTACTAGCAACCCAACAGATAATTACTAAAATTAAAAATCAAGAAGTATCAACAAGAGCATGAGACTTAAAATGTGAAAGTAGTGGCCTGAGAGAAGCAGCAGTGGAATTCAGAAGAGGCTGCTTTGCAAAAGGAGCCTTCATATTTGATGACAAAAATAAGATCTGGCCAGGCTTATGCCTATAATCTCAGCACTTTGGGAGGCCATAGCAGGAGAATCACTTGAGGCCAGGAATTCTAGACCAGCCTGGACAACACAGTGAGATCCCATTAAAAAAAATTAATTTTTAAAATCTAATTGTAGGATAAACAAGTACTACCATATTAAAATATGTATCTATAAAGGTTATCATAAATACTCTATAAATATGTATACTACTGTTTAATTTGGTAAACTAATACCAAGAAAATAACTAAAATTTTAGATAGCTTTCCAGTTTACAAAGCATTCATCCATGACACCTGGTCCCAGTCTCTCCAGAATTTTTTTTTTCAGGCATTGCTCCCTTTGCATTTTACCATCCAGTCTCATTTCAGCTGCCTATGTCTTGTTATGTCAGATTTCTAAAGCTATGTGTCAAAGAATTGCCCACTCATCCCATTTAATTCAACTCCACCAATCTCCCCTAAGAAACATTCTGATATCCAAAAAGTCACTCCCATCACTGCACGTCCACCGAACCTTAAAAAATTTATTGCCTAATGAATCAGATTATAATTAATCATTTACATGTCTATCTTTTTTCAAGTTTTTAATTATAGATACATAATAGTACATATTTTGGGGGTACATGTGATATTTTGATGCAAGCATATAATGTGTAATGATCAATCAAATCAAGGGAATTGGGGTCTCCCTTATTGGAAGCAATCTGAGGACACAGTCCCTACTCTGAATAGCTGGCCACTCAGCACAATTCATAATCCTGAACAAATGTTTAGTAAATAATATTATCTCGTCCTCAGAAAAACTCCTCAGACATTGTCCTATTTGGATGAGTAAACTTAAGGGTTAGAGAAATTCAACCATTGGCCAAGTCCATTATTTAGTAAATGGTGATGACAAAGGCTCAGGGCTTGAACTCTTACTTTCTGATTCCAAATCTCTATCTTTATACAACATCAAAAAACAATTCATGTAAAATTCACATTTTAGAGATTAAGAAATTTTAAAAGATCACAGATAATAAAGCTGAGTAGAAACAAACACAAAAACATGATAAATTCATTGTTTTAAACTTAATTTGCCTTATTCAACCAATAAATTGCAAGGGAAAAAAAGATGGAGAAGGAACTAGATATTAAAAGATTTAAAATACATGATCAATCACAATATGTGGACCTATTTTGGATCCTGACTCAAACTTTTTTTTAAAATTGTCAAAGACTATCCTTTGGTGAAGCTAAGTAAAAATGGTACATGGAAAATTTCAGGACTATTGTAACTTCTACATAAGTCTAAATTATTTAAGTCCTCAACTTATGACTGGGTTATGTACCGATAAACCCATCGTAAATATCATAAATCAAAAATGCATTTAAAGGCTGGGCGCAGTGGCTCACAGCTATAATCCTAGCACTCTGAGAGGCCAAGGTGGGAGGATAGCTCGAGGTCAGGAGTTCAAGGCCAGCTTGAGCAAGAGCAAGATGCTATCTCTACTAAAAATAGAAAGAAATTAGCTGGACAACTAAAAATATATAGAAAAAAGTTGCCAGGCATGGTGGAGTGTGCCTGTAGTCCCAGCTACTCCAGAGGCTGAGCCAGGAAGGTCACTTGAGCCTAGGAGTTTGAGGTTGCTGTGAGTTAGGCTGATGCCTCGGCACTCTAGCCTGGGCAACATAGTGAGACTCTGTCTTAAAAAAATAATAATCATCATCATCTCCCTCATACACTGTCCTTTATTGAGGGGATTAAAACACACTATTAAAAATTTTACTGAATATATCCTTTCAATGAGCAATTCTATTTCTGGTAGGACAGCCTAAAGAAAAGTCACACATGCTCCAAGTTGTAGGAACAGGGATTTTTCAGGACATGATTGACTTAAGAAAACTTTAAATATGTCCATCAACATGCAAATAGTTAAGTTATGGTATATACAATGGTATACAATACAGTTGTTCTAACACAGACTGCCACACTAGAAAAAAGAAATTTTTTCTTGGAGCCATGGTGTTATACTGCAAAAATAGAATAAAAACTTTGAAAAGAAAATGATCCTTTTTAATCTAGGGAAATATTTGTTATTTTTTATTGTTTTCTGTGCATGAGTTATATGCAACTTAAAAAATAGAGCAGCTCCCAAGGTAGTGACATGTGAGTTACATATGCTTCACAAGTCCCTGGGCTCAAAACTAGCATGAGTTAAATACAACTCACATGGCAGTTAATGTGTTAAATATATGGTTGACTTAGACACTGACAAAATTTGTAAGTGAAAAATCAAATCAAAGAAAAATGAATAGAGTATTATCCCACAATGAGGTGGGATACATACACAGAGACTAGAACATGCCAACTGTTAAGTGAGCTTCTCTCTGGAGAGGGCCATCCCAAAAGTCAAATAAGAATATACAAATTAAGAGTTTTTAAATATGATTGCTAAAATGTCAAAAAAAAAAAAAGTTTCTCCATATTCACTCTTTCCCAACCTAACCCCATCCTCCCAATTCCATTCTTCACATTGCAGCCAGTGGATTTTTAGCAGACACAACTCTAATCCCTTTAATGGCTCTGCTCCCCCAGGCAGCTCCTCCTACCTGCCTGACCCTTCCAGCAGCCCACTCCCCACTGTTTTCTCTGTTCTTTCTGATTAGCCCAAGAGTCTTTAATTCCAGACCTTTTTTTGTTAGCTATTCCACCTTTCTGGAATGCTTTTTTTCCACTTTACCTCTCTCCCATTTAAGTGGGCTAATTTCAGATTTATAGTTGAAATGTCTTCCTCAGAATAGCATTCCTAGATTCCCAAGTCTAAATCAGGTGACACTTCTAGTACTCTTAGCCTTTTCTTTATAACACTTCAAGAAACTGTAATTAAATATCTAATTGTTTGTGGGGTGTTTTTTTTTACCAGCTATTTCCCCCACTAAGATACAAGGGCAGGGACCTAGACTGACTTGTTCACTACTATGATCCAACAGCTAGCGTGGCAACCTACATATTAGGCACTCAATAAAAAACTTGCCTAACACACTGAAATGATACAGTGGAATTTTTTTTGGATGGTAGGGTTATATGGCTTCAAAAAGAAAAAGTAGTTTTAATTATGTAATTTCTAACTTTTTGACAGCGAACAAGGATTTCCTTCACAATCGTAAAACGCAAACCAAAGTAATCCATTTACGACCTAAATTAACAGAAGTTGGTTTTAAATATATATATTCAAAACCCAAAAGTTTGTCATGAAATGTGTACACTCATACACGACTGGTGGCCACAATCTTGTAAGCGACTGCTTTTTCACAAAGCAATAAGCAAATATATAGCACATGCTGTTGATAAAGATATTAAAATCTTGTCCTAGTAATCCCAATAAAGAAAACGTAACTAATTCAATAGAAGCAGTTATACATACTGTCTTCTAATAAAGTTCATCTATAAAAAAAAATCTGCAAACTATCTTAACTCTGCAAAGGATCTTATGTGTACAAAAATCCACTATAATAAGCAGGACTCAGCAACAGGTTATGTTAGAAACGGAGTTGTGGGTTACATTAGAAAGGTAGTTATTCTCTAATTCTTACCAAAAAAAGCTTGATTTTAGTTTAAAATATTGACAAACTGTTGCCAAAGAGTTGGGTACTTTTGATCGTAAGTGGTATTCATGAGACTACCTATAAAAATAGAGCCAGATACAATTAATATTTACACACCAAAAAACCCGTCATTAACGCGACAAGGGCCACAGGTGGGGGCGGGGAGGCTCCTTTAGACCGTGTCATTCCTGGGAACACACCTGCCTCTCAATTTCCAAGTGGCTGAAGTTTTACTCAAATCCAAGTTACTTTGAATACTCCACTTGGGTTTTTGTTCTAAGACCGTGGCACAAACTCAAGGTGTTTTTCCCCTTAACCTGCTACCCTCACCCCCCAGCTGACCCTCGGACTGGGAGGTGAAGGGCGCCCAGGGCCCCGCCCGCGACCCCCGGCTGCCCCGAGGCCTGCGCGGGCAGGGGAGCGCGTCGGCCCGGCACACATTAACCCGGCTGCGCCCGGCCCTGCGCGCTGGCCGTGCGGCGCGGTATCGCCCGAAACTCGGCTGCCCTGCCCGACTGGCCGCCGCGCCACTCCCTCTGGCGGGACTGACACGGTGCCGGCCAGACCGGGACCCCGAGGCCCGAGGGTCCCGCGCGGGCCCCGCCCGCTCCCCTGGGGACGCGGCCGCCACACGGCGCGCCAGTGAGGGGATCCCCTCAGCTGTGAGGCGAGCGGGCTGTGCGGCCGGGGCCGCGGGGCCTCGCGCTTACCTGGGCTGGGGACGCCGGGGCGCCAGCGACCAAGGCGGAGAGTGCGGACGAAGAGAGGAGGGGGTGGCCCCGCGGGAGACGCCAAGAAATGGCGGCCTGCAGCGCGCCCACCCCGCGCTAACCCCCGGAGGACCCCGGCCGCCCGCCGGCCCGCCCCTTAAACCTCCTCCAAGCTCCGCCCCCGAGGGCGGGGCGTTGGGCTCTTAAATGGGCAACAACACCGCCCCGGAAATCAGCCCGCGGGGCGAGACTCGGGGTAAACCCGCGATGCCTGGCCGCGCCGAGCTGGAACTGGCCGCCTCAGCCCGGCGCCCGCGTCTGGTTTAAAGGGCGCTGCAGAAACGGGCCGCGGCTGTCAGACCTCCGCCCGCGGTGGGCGTGCGCCCACGTTGGTTCGTCAGGAATGAGGCTGCGGGATCCCTCCGTCAGGTGCTCCGACTGCCTGCTAGATTCATTCATCTGTTCATTCAAGAAATTAATTCCTTCTGTAAATATTTACTGAGCACTATCAGGTGTCTCCTCTCTCCTCCCCCTTCGTAGGGATTAAAAGAGAGTTAAGTCCCTGCTGCTGCTAAAGGAACTTTCACTCTGCTGGGAAGAGAGACAGTAAATAAATGCATGTCAAATGGTGGTATGTGTCATGAAGAAAAGTAACACTGGGAAAGAAAAATAAAAGACTGCTATTTAACATGCTGTGGTCAGCAAGGTCCTCTGTGACAAGGTGACACCTCGTCCATTCATTCTACAGGTAATTTATTGTCCCATTATGAGTTCTATGTTCTAGACACTGGAGATACAGCAGATAAGCAAGACAGACAAAATTCCCTCAGGGAGCTTAAATTCTAGCAGGAAAGACACAAAATAAATGAGATAAATTAGTGAAATTAAATATTAATACTGTGTTAGACATTGACATATGCTAAAGAGAAAAGTGAAAGCAGGGAGTAGGGATAGGTAATGAGGGGTTGCAATGTTAGACAGACTGACCAGGGAAGAAGGAAGGTCTCAGCAAGAAGGTGGCATTTGAGAGAAAACCCAAAGGAGGTGAGGGAGCGGCCCTGTGGCCATCTGGGGAAGAGCAGAGGGAGCAGCCAGGACAAAGGCCCTGCAAGAGGATGTGCCTGGCCTGCTGGAGTTTGGCCAGTGTGGCTAGAAGTGAGGGAGCAAGAGGAAGAGTGGGAGGAGGTGAGAGTGGGAGAGGAAAGGGGGTTGGGGTAGAGGGCCTATGGGCCCTGGCCAGAGCTGCAGGGAAGTGGGGGCAATTAGAGGGTGTTATGGGGAGGACCCCCTAGTTCCCCAACCTTCCACCCTCACCCTCCACCCTATGGCCCTGGCTGAAATTCAAATAAATATTCACTGCCCACCGCTCCACCACCCCAAAACTGAGTAATAGGCTTGGTGGGGACAGTTCATCTCTGCCCCACTGGTGTTGGCAGGGGCTGCTCAACAGGAACCGCAGCTGCCAAGGTGGTTTCACTCCTCCATGTGGCTTCTTAGCTGGGGTGGCTGAAAGGAGCAGCAGAGTTCTGCCTGGGCTGCTCTCCCTAGCACAGTACTTGGGGAGGAAGGAGTGAAAACTGAAGGTGCAAGGCCTGTTAAGGGCTCTGCCCAGAAGTCACACAGCATCACTTCTGCTGCTGGTTACTGGTTTATGCAAATCATAGGGCCAGACCAGTTTCAAGGAGGGGAAAGAGACTCTACCTCTTTTTTTTTCTTTTAATATTAAAGTAGAGAAATTTTCCTTCTCCATTTAAAAAAATGTCTTTATTGAGATATAATTCACACATTTAAAGTGTACACTTCCATGGATTCTAGTATTCTCACAGAGTTGTACAACCATCACCGCAATCTAATCATAGAATATTTCTATCACCTCCTCATGAGAGGTGCAGCATAGGTATGTAGGGATGGGAGGAGTTGGTGGTGGTCATCTTGCATCTTTTCTCAATAAAAAAGTAATGATGGGCCGGGCGTGGTGGCTCACAAATGTAATCCTAACACTCTAGGAGACCAAGGCAGGCAGATCCTTTGAGCTCAGGAGTTCAAGACCAGCCTGAGCAAGAGTGAGACCCTGTCTCTACTAAAAAAGTAGAAAAAAATTAGCTGGACAACTAAAAATACATAGAAAAAATTAGTCAGGCATGGTGTGCATGCCTGTAGTCCCAGCTACTTGGGAGGCTGAGGCAGGAGGATCGCTTGAGCCCAGGAGTTTGAGGTTGCTGTGAGCTACAATGATGCCATTGTACTCTAGCCCAGGCAACAGAGTGAGACTGTCTCAAAGAAAAAAAAAAAAAAGTGATGATGATGATAATGACATGGGAGGGGGAAGCAGTGGAGGTACAGATGAAACAAGAATGGGCTGAGTCGAGTTGAAACTATGTGACAGGTACATTAAACTACTCTATTTTATGTATAGGATTAAATTTTTCCATAATAATAGTCTTTTTAAAATACTATCTGGGCCATGTACCCCTTGGAAAGCATTCGTTCTCCCCGGGGTTCTGATTACCCAGTTTGAAAACTTCAGGGTCTTGCTTGCTGTCCCTTCAGCCAGTCACGACTATCTCCCTCCAAGTGTTGTCATTTATCTGTTTACTGATCAGTAATGGAAACACATTCTGCCAATACTTATAATAAATTGTTTGATAGCACACCAGTATTGAAAAACAGTATTCTCTTTATCCTTCCTGCTCAATCTTTTTTTTTGAAACAGAGAGTCTCACTCTTTCTCCCAGGCTAGAGTACAATGGCATCATTGTAGCTCACTGCAACCTCAAACTGCTAGGCTCAAGTGATCCTCCTGCCTAAGCCTCCTGAATAGCTAAGACTACAGGTGCACACCACCATGCCCAGCTAATTTTTTCTATTTTTAGTAGATGGAGTCTCACTCTCGCTCAGGCTGGTCTCAAACTCCGGAGTTCAAGTGATCCTCCCACCTCAGCCTCCCAGAGTGCTAGGGTTAAAGGCGTGAGCCACCAGTCCTGGCCCATCTTCTTTTCTACCCCCTGTCAAAGGTGGAACTGGAGGAAGCTGCAGATGCAATGAGAGGAATATATTGAGAAAGATGGTTATAGGCTGAAGGAAATATGAAGACTCAGGGAAGGGGGGATAAAACCTAAGGACCCAAGTCATGGAAGTTGTTTGTGCTCTAATAATGTAAGATCATTCCTAATAACAATTCGTCATCCCTCCAGTTCCTGTCTCCCACAGATAATACCCTCTGCAACATCCCTATTCTGTGGTAAGTTCACCTGTGAATTGACTCCCACCAGACAGAAAAGGGCCTCTTCTCAAACTCAGCTGTATTAAGTAAAAATACATTTGGCTGCAAGGAATAGAAAATTTAATTAACTTTGCTTGAACTAATAAGGATTTTCTTCTTCTCACTTAAGTATAATAATGTAGGGGTAACGTAGTGGCTGCTAGCACTGGTTCAGCTCCTTAACAATTTTATAAGGATCCTAAACTCTTTTACTGGTTCTGCTCTGCCACCCTTAGCATGCTGACTTTGGTTTTTGTTTCTAGCCTACTGGCCCCAAGATGGATGCTGTATCTCCAGCTCTCCTGAGTTTCAGGAATTTTAAGGGAAGAGGGAAAAGACCTCTTCATGAAGCCTTATCTTTCTTTTAGAGAAGGAAGTCTCCCCCACCACCACCCTCCCATCCCCAGAACTAGATTACCTGCCCACACTTAGCCAAAGAGTACAGCATGACTGGCTTAGACCAATCAGATTTACCTTTGGGGAATGCCTGTTCTCCCTGAGATGGAGAGCTCTCCATTAACTTTAACAAATCCAAGTTCTATCAGCAGGAAAGGGGATGTTGCTGGGAAGAATGACTGTGAGTAGCTATGGAGGGTACTTAACACAACAACCCACTTCTTGGTGGAATTTTCCTGCCCAGGGAAAGATTCTCCTTTGTTGAGCTATCATCCTTACCCTGGATTTCCACTTCTATTTTATTATTTTATTTTATGTTATTTTATTTTTTTATTTCAGCATATTATGGGGGTACCAATGTTAAAGTTACGTATATTGTCCATGCCCCCCTCCCCTCTCGAGTCAGAGCTTCAAGCATGACCATCCCCCAAACATTGCACATTTCACTCATTGTGTTTGTATATACCCAATCCCTTCTCCCCCCTCCCACTCAACCCCCGATAAATGTTTTTCCTATATGTCCATTTAGGTGTTGATCCATTAATACCAATTTGCTGGTGAGTACATGTGGTGCTTGTTTTTTCCATTCTTGAGATACTTCATTTAGTAGAATGGGTTCCAGCTTTATCCAGGAAAATACAAGAGGTGCTATATCACCATTGTTTCTTTCTTTTTCTTTTTTTTTTTTTTGAGACAGAGTCTCGCTTTGTTGCCTAGGCTAGAGTGAGTGCCGTGGCATCAGCCTAGCTCACAGCAACCTCAAACTCCTGGGCTCAAGCAATCCTCCTGCCTCAGCCTCCCAAGTAGCTGGGACTACAGGCATGCGCCACCATGCCCAGCTAATTTTTTCTATATATATTAGTTGGCCAATTAATTTCTTTCTATTTATAGTAGAGACAGGGGTCTCGCTCTTGCTCAGGCTGGTTTTGAACTCCTGACCTCGAGCAATCCACCCGCCTCGGCCTTCTAGAGAGCTAGGATTACAGGCGTGAGCCACCGCGCCGTCACCATTGTTTCTTAAAGCCGAATAGTACTCCATGGTATACACATACCACATACCACATTTTATTAATCCACTCATGAATTGATGGGCACTTGGGTTGTTTCCACAACTTTGCAATTGTGAACTGTGCTGCTATAAACATTCGAGTGCAGTTGTCTTTTTCATAAAGTGACTTTTGATCTTTTGGGTAGATGCCCAGTAGCGGAATTGCTGGATCAAATGGTAGATCTACTTGTATCGCTTTAAGGTATCTCCATATTGCTTTCCACAGAGGTTGAACTAGTTTGCAGTCCCACCAGCAGTATAGGAGTATTCCTCTCTCTCCGCATTCACGCCAACATTTATTGTTTGGGGACTTTTTGATAAAGGCCATTCTCACTGGAGTTAAGTGATATCTCATTGTGGTTTTGATTTGCATTTCCCTGATGATTAGAGATGTTGAACATTTTTTCATATGTTTGTTGGCCATTATTATGTCTTCTTTT